TCCTGTCGCGATAGTCCTCGTAGCAGCAGTCTCCAATGATGTCCGGGAGTATGCCGAAGAAGGCGAGTTCCTCATCGTAGGCGCTGATACACTCGTGTTTGGGGTAATGAAGACGGGAGGTGCGGTAGTAGTTGAGAATGTGGCGAAAGATATCCGGATCACGGTCGAAGAAGTACTCTTTGAGCTCCTCATCGTAAAAGAACTCCCTCTCGTTCGAGCCAAGAAGGGAGTCTGGGAACTTCTCCAGGGTTGTACGCCAGGTTTCGAACCTCCTACCGCTCACGTTGATCTTGAGCTTTTCATCCCCTCGTCGACACTCTGGCCGAACGCTCGGGGTGGGTAGAGGGTTTTGCGAGATTGGAACCCATCCGATGGCTGAGGCCCGGGCAAAGGGCAACCACGCTGCCACCGACGCCATCACTCCACCCGGCGTGATGTTTCCTTTAGAGGAGAACAAATCTGGCTCCTCCCGGAAAACAATTTTGATGAGTTGGATGAGGGGGGGAAGCCCGTGGAAAATGGAAAAGAAGAACAACAGGTGAAATGAGGGAGAGAGAGGAGGGGATTTGGAGGTATTGGATGAGAGAGGGGAATTGGAGATTTTTGTGGAGAGATGGGATTTGGGAGTTTTTGAGGAGGAGACGAGGGTAATGCGAAGGTCTGAAGTGACGGCGAGAGCTGACAGAGAGGGTATGGGATGCCGGCAGGACGGGCAGCTGAAGGAGGCAGGGAAAACAGCCTCAGTGAGAACAAGGCTGGAATCAGCAACGTTTTCTTTCCCCTATACGTCCCCCCTCTTCAGTCAATACGGCTGTCTAGAGTCGTATAATGGTCTGTGCCAAGGCTTCACACGAGAAAAAAGTAGAAACTGGAAGGTTTTTGCATGCGGAAAGGATGAAATCAATGGCTTATAAATAGTGAAAACATCTAGTCAGAAATAGGATTTTGCATTAACCCTTGCACACAATAACTTTTCAGAAAATGTGGAAACAGAGACTGTATGGTTTTGTTCACTCACCGCTTAAACTCTTACATAGGTGAAGCACCTTACAATACGGAGCTCATTACAGTGCAGTTTTACCTCAACTTCGTAAACAATTTTTTTTCTCACCAAAATTAGATTGGCGGCATTCGATCGATCATGCAGATTTGGAATTACGGAATCTACCAGCGAAGGAAGAGTCGGTCTCTGAAAAAAAGGCCTCACTCTCACTCACACCTCTTGTTTTTGCATTCTTCAACCTGCCCCAGAATGCACTGCCATCTCCGCGACAACTCGGTAAGGGTGTGTGCACACACGATTGGTGAAAGTTCTTTACCTGGTTATCTGACCACTGGTCAGTACCGTGTCAAAATGCGTCCGCAGCCGCCTCCAGGTGGCGCTGTGCTGTGTCCTGGGAGGGTGGGTGGGGATCACCAGCCCACGCCAGCTCGCTTCTCGCCTGGTGCGGCGCTAGTCGAGTCCATGCGTGCTACAACGTCGTCCATTGACCTTGGCCACTGTTCACGACGATTGGGCAAGGTCATTCTGATTTCTCCCCAGAGTTCTGTTGTTGATTTAACAGGTTCAAAGTATCCGTTCCTGAGGGGTAAAAATAAAAAATAAATAAGACATGGTTATATTATAGTATGCAATATCAATTATACATAATTAATCTTACATATTTGACATGAACATGTTTATTTTCAGGTACCATGTACCTTTGCAATGTGAACAAGCCGTGTTTCGTATGGGACAAAGAACACACACAGAGAGAGAGAGAGAGAGAGAGAGAGACAGACAGACAGACAGACAGACAGACAGACAGACAGACAGACAGACAGACAGACAGAAAAGAGACGATGACGGGGTGTATTCACTGTTGCACTCTAGAGTACCCAGATTTCTCCACATGGGAACTAGTACGAGTAAGAACAGGAAATTGTCTTGTTGACTTAGCTGTACGCCCTCTTCCTCTGAAGGAAAGCCACCACTTTCAGGTAGCAAGCACATTTCATTATCGTGTGTCCAGCGCTAAAACCCTGTATTTGAGTCAAAGACATGAATATGAGGTACTAGATACTAGATACCTATAATACTTTTTCCTTTTACTAATAGTTACGTGTGTATAAGACACTTTCGCTGCTGAATTCGAAACCTGTCTGTGACGTTACAGATGCAGACCTGATTGCATTTGTTCATGGGTGTGTGATTTGAGAGTGCGTACGCACAGGTAGGTACGCCATTTGCCGTTACTATAAAATATCGACATGACAGAGAATGTATAAGTACACACACACACACACACACACACACACACAAACAAACAAACACACACACATACACACACACACGCCCGCGTGCGTGCACACACATACACACACACACACACATACACACCCACACACGCACACACTTGCAATCCTCGCACTACGGCGCAAGTAGACATAATAAACAGAAAAATTCAGTTGTAAGACGTCAAAAGAAAGACAGGACGTGAGGAAAAATTCTGAAAGCATCCACGAAGGTCGCCGACGGATACAAGAGTGCTGCTATACAAAGGCCAATCGATAGAGGCGATCTGAAATAGAAACGGTGACTGATACAAAAACATCTGTCTACACATCACAAATATTCTGCAGTAGACAACATTAGCCGAGTTTGTTACTTGATCTTCACTGTTTTTCCTTTTAGTGATGTAGGTATTTTACCTTGTTCGTTTGGTCGTTTTGCTGTCTTTTGTTGTCTGTTGTTGTGACGCCTTTTACTGGCCTATTTTATTTCGGTTGTTTGTTGTTTTGTTTTGTTCTTTTTTGTGGCTCGGAAGGGATGTTTTGTTGTTGCTGTTGTTGTTGGTATTGCTGTTGTTGTTGTTGTTGGTGGTGGTGGTGGTGGTGGTGGTGAAGGTGGTGGTGTTGTTGTTATTGTTATTGTTGTTGTTGTTGTTATTGTTGTTGTTGTTACTGTTGTTGTTTTATGTTTCTAGAAAAGAGAAAATCATTGACGCTATAAATTCTATGTCGTGTGAAGAAAAAGCTAGTCGGATAGACGTAGTCAATCAGAGTCTGCAGTGTTGCCTTTTGGCATTTCGCCGTCACAAGCTTAAGTTCAAATCCAATATGGGGAGAGTAGATATGGAGCACCCTGGTCATTCAGCTGGGATGTTGTATCCTTCTATGTCCTGATTGGTCCTGTTTGTCAGGGTCGAAGTCCACCTCATATATGATCTAAATTGTGTTGAACGGGGCCTTAATATCACTCGGATGACAGAGAAAGTCATAGTAAAAAAAGAAGAGGGATAGTAAAGATTGAAAGCTTATCTACTCTCTCTCTCTCTCTCTCTCTCTCACACACACACACACACACACACACACACACACACACACACACACACACACACACACACACACACACACACACACACACACACACACACACACACACACACACACCTGTCTATAAGACTAGGTTAATTATGCAAAACAGAGAAAGATCATCAAAGCAATAGGATATCAAAGTTATAGTATGTCCTTTTTTGTCCTTGAACTCATTATGTCAACAGGGAACTGTATTAATACTGAATCATTGTTTGGTGAATTGTTAAATGTATCAGTTCAAAGGCATATATAGTGTATGACGTCCGGCGAGCCAAATGTGGCCCAACAGAGAGTGGAGACCTTGTATGTACGTAATACGTCAAGTAAGATCTGAAGAGAGAGCTAGAGGGGGCTCTCGAGGCCAAGAGGTTAAGGTGTTGGTCTCTCATTCAAAGGTCCCGGGTTCGAATCCGGGTAGCGACCGAAAAACGTTCTTCTCTAAAATTGTCTACTTTCACCTCCTTTCCAGCTCTCTAGCAATGTTCTGTCGTGTGCTTTCGTCTCCTCTTTCTGCCCCCACCCCCTCACCTCCTTTGCCCCTTCCTCTGGGCTCCTGACTCTTTCTGCAGCCTTTCTGCTATTCCTCGGCTCCTTCTTACTGCTGTCTTTCTGCCACACCCCTGATCTTCTGGTAGGAAAGATCTACACCTAGCCTTCTCGGACAAGGGCGACAAATCTCGGAAGTCCCGTGTTCAAGTTGCGCACGTTGAAGATCCCTTGGGGGTCTAAAATCGATAAGAGTAGGCTTCGGCCGCCACCCGGGCAAAATTAAAAAATTCCTACCAACTGAAACTATTAGGTGTGTCCCGCCCGCTCATATGACCTTAGGCAGTTGCGAGCGCCGTAAAACACTTACCAAAAAAAACAAAAAAACAAAACAGCGAGACAGAGAGCTAACGTTTACTTTTACTATCCAACGCCACGTAGCTAGAGACGTATGAGCTGCACCCTAACAGCTGGGGAAGCTTGCTGACCCCTTTCGGAGACAAAGCAAGACAGCCAACAGAGAAATTGTATGTTTAGAAAAGATACTGAACCTTCTAGTCAGTTGGCGAGCTGCAAAGACTGGGCGACGAACGTAAAGAAAGGACGATGAACGGAAAGACACTGACAGACAAATAGAAAAACAGAAAATGAACAGGGAAAATTGAGATCACAGAGCTCATTTCCGGAAATGTCTTTTTAAAGGTCAGGAGTAGCGCCTGGTGAGAGGACAAAAAGGGTTTATCGATTGCTTACTGCTTCAAAACGGTTGAAATCCAATTTTTGCCCTCCAGGATCAAATTTTAGAGGCCCTTTTTTTAGACAAGGGCCCGGTCATCAGCGATAAATCCAGAGACTGTGGCATTTTCACTCCTTTATTATCGCGCCCTAGGCTTCCCATCGTGACGTTCTTGTGTAGTGTGCTGGCCAATTTTATAAGGATATTGGCTTAGTTTTTTAGGCAATGACTTAAAGAGATTATATAGTTTGAGGTTATTACTATCATTGTAGATTTAGGGACGTTTTAAAAATACTTCACTGCTGTTTTGCTTTCCTTGACCGAATTTTTTTTTCTTTTTTTCTTTTTTTTTGGTCCCTTGTGTTGATCAAACGTATATGGAAAAAGCACACACACATACACACATACACACACACACACA